TTCATTTTTACCCAAATTAGATTTGGGCCGAAAACCGGCCTTATGGACCTTCCTCCTTTAGAGTAACATTTTTGGAATTACCAATTTATTTCATAAAATATGTAGTACAAAAGTATTAGTCTGATATATACAGTTGAGAAAAACACTTTACTTGTGCGTTGATTATGCGCGTGTTGCCATCTAGCGGACATATTTTCTTGGACACAATTCACAATTTACAATAACGCGAACGAATTTCAAACATCTCCCGGACGGCAGAATGTGGTAGAATTACTATAATTTTGAAATTCATCTGCGAATGGCATCTTTGTGCTGTTTCTCCTACGAATATATTACAAATTCACGAAATCTAGCTTTCTTTAACATCACAGACATTACAACAAAGTAGCAGGTTTGCTGGGGAGCCACGCGATTAATCTCCTTGCAAGGGTATTACAAAAGTCAATAAATCATCACTACGACGTTCGACAACCACTGATAGTGCGATAGAGTCCAATTTAATATTGAATACCGTTATTTATCTGTCTCTGTATAAATAGCTAATTAGCTCTTATCCTTGATTTTTTAACCACTTAATCTGAAATCACATCTCTCAAACGTTTAGCTATCTGCCGCCTACAATTGTTTTGCACAATTGGCAGACGCGCTATATAATTTTTTGTCTAAAAATAGTTTGACGGAAGACAGTTTAGCTCCATGCGACGGCCAATTAAATGCCATATTAGATGGTTGGAATTAATACGAGATCTTAACAAAAATTTCAGACAAGGCATCACGTGGCACAAGCTACGATCAGCTCTGACGCCGGAACTGATGGGAGCCAATACAGTACTGGGATTTCTTCCTGCATTAAATGACGTCACTGATGACTTCGTGGACTTAATACGTTCGCAACGAAGTGGCTCGAAGGTTGTTGGATTCGAGGAGCTTGCATATCGTATGGGCCTTGAAAGTAAGTATGGTTAAATTATTCTATACGTTCATATATAGTTTAATCCAAAAGTTCAAATTAATTTGTCATACATATACATATATATGTCATACATATATATGCTCTGATTCCTTATAAACTTGTCACAGGCACGTGCACCCTCATTCTGGGACGTCGCTTGGACTTTCTTAAACCTGATTCAGGCTCGTTAACAGCCACGTTGGCCGAGGCTGTAAGAGTTAATTTCACAGCGTCCAGGGACGCCTTCTACGGGCTGCCATTTTGGAAATTGTTACCCACCAAAGCTTACAAGCAGCTTGTTGAGAGTGAAGATGTTATTTACGAGTAAGTTTCCTTGAAGATCATAATCTCTTTCAGTTTTTAGAGTAGAACTTAATCATTGAATATTATGATAATTCTTCTAGCACGATATCCGAATTGATGGAGACGACTATCTGGGAGAAACAGGATGACGCTAAGGATGAAATCGTCGAGGCTGTTTTTCAATCTATTCTCAGGGAAAAGAATCTTGATATAAAAGATAAAAAAGCTGCGATTATTGATTTTATAGCTGCTGGTATACATACGGTTAGTTTAATTGATTGATTATCGAATGATGTCTTTATCATTGTATTGTTTAATAATTTGCCGTTTTATTTTCCTATGTAGCTTGGTAACACACTCGTCTTTCTTTTTTATCTTATTGGTCGCGACGCCAAAGTGCAGAGACGTCTATACGAGGAGGCTGCATCTCTTGCACCGCCAGGGTGCAATCTTGTCGCAGAGGATCTTCGTGGTGCCATGTATCTACGTGCTTGCATTACTGAGGCATTCAGGTATTCTATTTCTATAAAACGGATTATTCATTTCAAATCTATCGTCTGAAGTTAGCTCAATCTATTGGACTCTTGTGGTAAAGCCACATTCAGGTGGTGCTTTTAGACTGAATGAACTCGTGTATCATGATACAATGTATTATTACTCATATGTATAACTAAGTAAATTAAGGAATAATCATTATTATTTTTTGACCACAGAATGATCCCCACGACACCATGTATTGCTAGAATTTTGGACGAACCCATTGAACTTTCGGGTTATAATCTAAATGCTGGGGTGAGTAATATTTATTTTTGCAAACTAGCCTAAAAGTCTTAAATATTATTATTATCAGATTAAATGATATCAAGCCAATTATTGTTATTTATTTTATACAAGACCGTGGTTCTGCTTCAAACGTGGATAGCAGGACTGGATGAAGAAAATTTCAAAAATGCATCTCAGTGGATGCCGGAAAGGTGGTTGGAACCCACTTCACCCCATTCACCACTTTTAGTATCACCCTTTGGTGCTGGCCGACGTATTTGTCCAGGAAAACGTTTCACGGAACAGGCGTTGCAACTTATATTGGCTAAGGTACAAAAGACTGGCTCTGTTATACTTTATTGTAGATATAAAATATGGTTGCCCTCCTTGTATCCAGGTCGTTCGAGAATTCGAAATCATCGCCGACGAAGAACTCGGTCTACAATTTGAATTTATTTTGGCGCCAAAGGGTCCTGTATCCTTGTCGTTTCGTGATCGTCTCGAATGTACGTAAAGAATACGTGGGATTCTATATAAAATTACTGTTCGTTTTTCAATTCGATCGCATATCGGTCGCTGACTTGAGGTTATACCTAACTAACCTAACTATAGCACTGTAATAAAAGAAAGTAAAAAATAGAAAGGGAACCTCATACGAAAACACTTGTCGTTCTATATGTTTGTGAAAAACGAACGATCTTCAAATTGAACGTTCTGCGATCCTTTGTACTGTCTGTAATATTTCGAATTTGTTAAACGAAACTTGCGTTCGTTTATTCGAGCTATTTATTGCAATTATTGATAACTGTATTATTTATATTCAATTGTTTATAACGGATCTTGCGAATACCGATACTCTTCAGATTTCAATGATAAATTTGTCCAGTATTACAAGAGAAGAAGAAAAATGTACGCTATGCTCAGAGATAAACTCTGAAACTTTGTTCTACGGTCGTAGATTATTTTTTCTTTTCTCTTTTCTGATACATTCTAACGATCAAGATTACAGTTCAAACCCGTGAATGATGATTGAGCAAAGTGTGATTTTCGTTTTTCATTATGAAGATTGTTAAAGCTATCCCGATAATTCTAGCAGAGTGATTTACTAGTGAGACTGTAAAAATTTTGCAATTATTCATACGCCATGCGGGCAAAAATGCGAGTGGCATGTTTGTGTAAATAATTAAGAAAATGAAAACTATTGTACAATATTCAATGAATTCAATTATAACATACTGGCAGGCGCTCTAGTAATTATATGGAGTCTGTGTCGCGCGAGCGATTATAAGCTTGTAATATATATATATACAATATACATATAAATACCTATACAGAGTGTATCACCAGAAATGCACGTTTGAGATTTGCGGTGAAA